TTTATTGAAAACCAAGTTTGATGAATCTGTTGTCTCACGAAATGGCCCATTCTATTGGCCGCCTCAATCGTGCGTGAATAAAGAATTTTGTGGATATCCCAAACCGTAGCGCTTTGTTGTGCTCTTATTGAAAAACTCCTTACCAACCGATTCAAACCATTTTTGTCACACAGACATATCATTGTCAGAAAAGGATTATGACTGCATTTCAATGGTGTATCTCACGCATTGACCCATATTTGCGGGAAAACCTCAACTATCGTTACTGAGGACCAAATATTCGGTACCCAGGGTGTCGAACAGATTTTGTGGGAGTTGGACACTGTTTGGTCATAAGGTGGCCTACGCCAAAGGCATTATTCATGTAAAATTGTATTATAATAATTGTTTGTTGATTTGTGCACTGGAAAGGAAAAAATCGTGTGGAATTAAAAACTGTTTTGCGCCTTGTTACCTATGAGATGAGGCTTTGTGTCGGCAATAACCACAACGATTATTTTCTTCCATATATATCAGAAACTATATCTGTCCTATTACCTTTAGTTCTAGATTTACTATTAAAGGGTGTTCCATTTCGCGGTTCCCCACTTAAAAAAACACAGAAACTTCAAATTTAACGGGGAGTGTAGCAATAATTTGGTTGAAATCGGTCGGGCGCGTTTCGAGATAAGTGAATTCACTTAAAAGTGGGCGGTGCCACGCCCATCGTACAGTTTGCTTCCTACTCTTATTAAGCCATTTCATACGATTTCGCGTACAAAATTGTATGTCTCTGTCGTATTTAATTATTGATTATTGGAATTCCACTCAAAGATTCGGAATTCACAGAAAAGAATCATGAACAGTAAACATATACAGTTCATCGCTTAAATTTAACCCACCAACAGGTATAATTTGAGAAACAAATAAACCAAAATTTAAATATGCTTGTGTAAATAAATTTCCAACCCTTTACAGACGCTCACGCACATCCCAAACGTTCACGACTTTAACGCGCTGCATTACTTGTTCTGCCGGTGTTTCTGTAGCTAAACTTCCTTTACTGCATAAGTTTCTGCTAAGATTTTTCCAAATACTCTTAGACATATTTGCCAGTTTTTCTACCACGGCGCTCAAAAGTGTCCTTCATCAAAAACATATCCTTCGTCAACTTCATCATCACCTTGCACAATGTTATTATCTACATTGGTGCGCTGCTTGGCACAACAACAAAACTTTAATGCCTTTTCCGTAATTTTTCAATTCGTTCTGCTCCTTTTACATTCACTAGCTTACTCCTTTGAGATAGCTAGCCAGCGGCATTTCTCGACCCACCCACTAAACTCCTTCGTCGCTTACATTTTTCTCCGTTTTGACTGAGAAAAAATTCAAAAGCGCATTTTTAAATATTTTCTACCACTTCAGCTCACAGCTCTTGCACAGCCACACTCAGAGCACAGACGCATCCGCCTCTTGCCGCGCTAACGCAGTTGGCTAGTTCATAAACCAGCTAGCCGAGTGGCTCGACTCCCACCGACCGCTCCAGAGCTACAGAGCTTGCTGAATAAAACCAACAACACAGTAAGCATAGTATTCAAAGCGAGAACAACCCCAAGGTACTGTATGCAGGTACCGTTGTGTGTATGTGTGTGCGGTTGTGTCAAGTTATTCAAAAACCATAAAAAAAATTTAGGCCGGCATCATGTCAAAGCCAAATCTCCTGTTGTCTAGCAATGCCAAACACCACTCCAGCCCAGCGAATGCCACACCACAACTACACAGTTATGCACTAATACAGAAAATAAGAAGAATCCAACACCAACAAAGCGCAGCAGTGGCGCGCTCGGCTGTTGCAGTACCCCCCGTCTGGCCCACCTGCTTTCTTTAAAAAACAGAAAAGGGCACCAAAAGAACAAAAAAAAAAACCGATAAAGACAGCTATCTGGCTATGAAAAAAATCAACAAGGAGTTGCAGCAGCAAAGGCAAAGGCAACGACACAGTTAACGGCGATGGCAAAGCCCAAAACTCAAAAAATAGAAAAAATATATCAAAAAGTCGCACACAAGCACGAGAAAAAAATGTTTTGCATTCTAATTTTTTTGCAGCGCGCGCATTTTTCCCCAATGTGTACAATCAGCGTCGTCACCGGTCCCCACCACTTGCGCCGTTAACCATTCATCTGTACCATGCCATGCCATGCCATCCATTCACAATACAACACGGCTCACCTCGTCGCAGGCGAGAGATGCGTTCAACTGTCTATCGGCGTTTTACACCAACACCAAAACAAATGCCAGCTCAGCTCCACTACATCCATACTTGCTTGCTATACATAAATACGAGGCTCACTCCACAGCCTGTGCTGGTGATGCTGGTGTTGGTCGCGATGGTGCTTGCTGTCAACCCACTGCTGGTCGTACTCCAACGGCCTCACCATTAGAAGTACCGAAACCGATTGCCGACTGAGTGGCCGACAAAGCACGGACTGGCTGACCGCACGCATGAACAGTGGGCCATTAGTGAATATCTTTGGGAAGAAAATTAATGAAATATTTAATGAAGGAGATAGTTTGGAAAAGGCAGGGCTTCCTGGGTGTATCACAGTTTGGCGTGCAAGGTCAAGTACTTTAACTAAAACTAACTTTAACTTGTAGTGTTTATATGTATTTGAAAAATCATTTTGAACCAAGCAAGAGATATTTTTCTGAAAATTATCCTATGAGGATTGTGCCATCAATATTAATACGCAAGACCAAAGTTCTCCGAAAATGGATACTGGTAGAGCGGAAGTGTTTCTGGTGGTGTTGTTGGAAGCTACGTGGACTCTAGTGTGGATCTAAAAGCTGTATTTTTAGTTCAGTATTGTAATTGAAGACATTATTCTTTTTCTTTACAGCATGGAAGATTCTAAGCGAAATCAGGTCTTCTCCACCTGATCTTTCCATGGAGGTCTTTATTTTCCTCTGCTCCCTCTGGCGGGTACTGCGTGAAATACTTTCAGATCTGGAGTATTTTCGACCGTTCGGATGACATGACCTGGCCAGAGTAATTCGCTGAACTATGTCCAGGACGTTACTTTTCAATTGACTGCTCAGTCCAAAGTAGCACCTGTTGGTAAGAATTATTCTACTTTGGATTTCGAGGCTGGCATTGTTGTTCTAGTTAATACTGGTTCGTTCGTTCAAAAGCTGGATCAAAGCTTTAAGCACCCAGTTAATGATTTAAAAGTTTAGTGTTAAACTTCACAAACTATTTTAATTTTTTTATTTAATTGAGTTGTACAGAACTTGGATTTCGGTAGTAAATTTCTTCACTTCAGGGTTTGTTAAGTAAATTTACTACAAATGTACAAAGTATTAACCTTGAGACCTTGTAGACCTCTGACCGACACACAATATGCTTAGAATGAAATAGTATGTTTTGTTTGAAACTTGAACTGGTAGCCGAGTTATTCCACTCTCTTGTTATGTAGGAGTGACATTCTGCAGAAATTACTTATTGGTTAATGGCAAGGCTGTCTTCGTTCCCTTAAAACTCGGGCAGTGCTCAGAGTAGCCATCACCGTCCGCCATCACTCAACTCATCAGTGAACTCGAAGCTAGTCAGAGAGTATGTTACTTCACTAACAGTAACACCAAGCTACATCCATATTAAACTAGTCTGAGTGCCTCACCACATTGGAATCAGCGGAAACTATAACGCGAATGAGCATGCATGAAATAAGTAAGGCCATAAGATTGAGAAAGAGCAATTGTAATATTGTCTTCGTGTATTCGGGCGCTGTATCTGGAATTAATATTATATTAGTCGCTAGAATTGTGGCAAGCTCTAGGCACTTTAGCGATATGCGACGGTCGTTTTGAAACATATCTAGGAGTTCTGGGCATCACAACTGGTTATTTGTACGAAAACTCATCCTACTTACATGACAAGTATCAGGAATGGTCATAAAGTTCTGATCATTAGAAGTCAATTAGAAAAATCCCATTTAATAAACTATAAATTTATATAAAACTATTTCATTCATGATAGTTTATAAAATTCCAATTGTTATTATTTATGTTTTGTAGTCAGCTGTCAAACACGACACGTAACCTTGTTCTCACCTAATGGCCAGTAACTGACTGTTATGAAATTATTTGAAGTTTGGGCCAACATTTTTAAGTGATGAATAACTTGAATTCGAACGCGCGGCAATCATGTTACGAACCAACGACTCAGCAGATAGCACTCAGGCACTCAAACTCACAAATGCCTCGGCGCTAATCGGGTGTTCGAAATAAATCGCAGGTGACAAATTTATGATAGCATTGTAGTTTAAATAATGCATTCGATTGCAAACAATTTCAATCCTATTACGAAATATGCAAAATTATCTAAACTCATTGTTGTAGTGTCAATAATAAATATCAATCAAAGAAATTGCCATTTCCATAATTAAATAAAATTGCTGTCAGACAGCTTGTCACACGCGAAACCGCTTGAAATAACGCTACAGTCAGCACATCTGTACTTCTAGATAACTGTGATTGAAATTAATCATAGATTATTCATTAGAGTACTGCATGTAAATGCTTCTGGGTAAATTTATTACACAAAATAGTTAATAGCTAAATCCAAAAATACTTTCCACTCTAATGGCGAGCTCAAATTTTCTACTGTTTTTCCCAGTTTACGCATTACTTAACAGTTATAATCAATATATCAATCAATAATATTTTTAATTTATTATTGATTAAATATTTTTTCAAATATTAGTAAAAAAATATTTTTTTACAATTTATTTTATATCTTTCATATACTATATTTCTCAAATTTATTGCAATTAAGAGGTTTTATAATTGTTAATGTTCAGAGACTTCTCATCTCAATGCATTAAGCCGGACGTAGCGCATTGTGTTTCGATAATTTTTCATCCATATTCGCTTTCACTAAGTACAGCGCCATAAATTATTCAGAGAAATATTTCATTTAAATATCGGTAACAATCTGAACAAGTTTCAGTGAAAATTAGGTTTTCGAAAGCAAAATAGTTATACACAAATTTAAAAAATGATCAATCATCGACTGCTAAGTCTTGCTCTTTCACTGCTCCTGCTCGGCTTTCTTGCTGGCACTTGGGCATATCCTGAAATAGATGCAACGGATAACAAATTGGATAAGCAACAGCCCATGGAGACGACCACACCGAATGCAGGTGCAGCGAACGAGACGGGCTTCGACTTTCTGGAAGTAGTGCGCACTTGTAATGCCAGTTACACCATACCGTTAGGTCAGTTTAGACGCAAACGTATGAAACATTCCAGGTACAAATAGTATATGGTTTGCTTGCAAATATTTCCAGAATACATACAGCAATTCAATGAAACCGCAGAACTGCCGAACATAACGGACAAAACAGGCATGGTAAGTGCGATTTGAAGAGATTGAGATCAATATATTTCAACTGATCGTTCCCTGTAGTGCTTCCTGAAATGCTACATGGAGAAGTCGGGTCTTTTGCGAGATTGGCAACTGAATCCAACACTGATCCGGCAAACTATGTGGCCAGCCACTGGTGACTCCTTACCCGTCTGCCAGAATGAAGGCTGTAAGATTACTGCACTCGTGCTAGCAGAGCGGCAGATTTTTAATAATAATGATTCTGATTTTCGTTTTTAGCTCGTGAGACCTGTCCTTGCAAGCGCACCTATGCCATCGCTAAGTGTCTGATGTTACGCGCTCTAGTGGATGCCCGCAATAAGCCGTTGGTTTGACAACATTCTGTCAACTTCACGAGCAACAATGAATCTGAGATGGTCCCATAGCCACATATTATTAGCAACTTGTTTGCTCTTCGTGCACTTGAGCGCAACACGAGTTACATATTTAGATCTACACCATAATAAATATATTTAGAAGCACTTGAATTTCATTGCAGTCGCACTAATATTCTTAACGGTCCGTTGATCGGAAGGTTCTTTACTCATTTGTGGAATTTTTATGGCTTACTTGTGCAACAACAGTGTCTGTGAAAGGAATTGTATACACATACATATGCATAGCTTACGCAAATCTGAAGGATTGATAAATGCTGTTTGGAGACGGAGTTCCTATAAAATCTTATCTAGCCTGCCTCTGCATTTTGCTGCTTAAATAAAAGTTCTCGTATTGATACAAAAAAAAAAAAAAAAAAAAAAAAAAAAAAAAAAAAAAAAAAAAAAAAAAAAAAAAAAAAAAAAAAAAAAAAAAAAAAAAAAAAATTGATTTTGTTTTAAACTCTTGTCATTTTTCTTTTAAGGAAAAACAGTCAGCTTCGGCTGTAAAATTTCAAATACAAATTTCTAAAGTATGAATTTTAAATGCAAGTAAGTTGGCTTGGAAAGCTATTACGGGTGAAGCTTTAAGGGTTTTGGTAACTGCTTGCATTCAACAGAACATAAAGGGTAATGAAGTAATAGAACGCCAGAGAATGTCTTTAGAATCATGAAAGTAGTCAATGTAGTGGTTGCCAGAAAGCGACCGCATATATACGGATTCAAGGCCACAAATGAATGCCGGAAAACAAAATAGCTGAAGAGGTTGTCAAAAGAGCCATCCATCTAGCTACAGAACCAGTAAGGGAAATACACGAGTCGCTAAATTAATGAAATTTCCGAAATGACTGACCTACGAATCAGGGTGAGACAGAATGCCTTTAGAACATGTAGGATCGCTGTGGTTATGTGCAAGAGTCGTTCAGGAAAACACCGTTTCGAAAGGACTGCAGGACGACGAACTTGCTGACATCACACGCGAGGCGGATGGTATTAGTAAGGACGTTACATGCAGAAATATCAGGGAAGTAGGCATGTGTGAAACGCTGGTACACTTCCAAAGCTTCCGTCCAGTTTTATCTGGAAACCGGCTTAGATATCTAGAAGCTTCGCAATTCAAAGGACTAGATGAAGTAGCAAGATTAGTTTGCGTTAGTTGACGAAAGTTTAGTTCTATAACGAAAACCTCAGCTTAAATTGAACTAAACCTCCAACTTGGAATTACCAAGGACCAGTAGGTCTATGTATAGCGTGACAGCCTGGCATTTTAACCTAAAAGAGCGCTCTAACAGCGAATTCTTACATTCATTTTGTGCGCTGCGACTGTGCACCAGACACACAGTGCCGCCATATGCCTGGCGCTTTGCTTTGCACGCTTTTGCCACAATTGCACACTATTCACAAAACAGTCAAAGCAGACACGACTGTGTCCGCTAACACCCGTTGCTCCATATTGGATGTGCTTGCGCGTGCTTTTGAATAATAAAAAATTGTTACGAAAAGCAACAGCAACAGCAACAGCAAATACACATTTTTTACGTGTTATTGTTGTTGTGTGTTTTATGTTTTGCATTACACTTTTTCTTTCGCGAGTTGGGTTTGTGTTGTTGTTTTACTTTTATTTCTGTTTTTATTTTTATTTTTGGCATTCACTAACTGGTCTGGACCGGACTGTTTCACGTGCTTTTTCGTGAGCCGCGGCTCGGTGAGGGAGGCGGTAAATGTGACGCGCTGCTGCTTTTTCTATTATGATGTCGATTGTTGCTGTTATTGTTGCATTGTATTAAGGGTGCTTTTGCTTGTACGTAGTTGTTGCTGTTGTTGTTGTTGGCTAATAACGACGTCGGGGTCGGCTAGCGACAGCGGAAACTGATGTTGATGATGACGTTGCTAATGATGTTGTCGATTTGTATGCATGTATGGGTGTATGTACGTAAACATAATGGAATGCGAGAAATATAGATGTTTATAATTTGCTACTTCATTATAATTACTTGCTATTGCGGCAGCGTTGCAGGCACCAATAGGCCTGATCATCCCTGCAACACAGCCAGCCGTTGCAGCTAAATTAGCAGAGATTGATTTGCAAATCAGTTAAAAGTGCTAAATAACCATAAAATTCGTACATACATACATACATACATACATACATACACATATCCATATATATTGTATGTGACCAGAAACATGCATTGAACAGTGCAGAGCAAAATAACTCGTAAACGATAGTGACCATCGCCGCCTCTCGCAATCTTTAACAATCACCGTTATCTCAACCATTAAAAACACCCAGTCGCTCATCATTGTGCGTTCCTCCAACTATTACTATTCATAGCCGTTTATTCGTACGCCTGTCGCTTTCTCCTACTACTTCTTCTTCTTCATCTCAAAACGTTATATGTTTTTGGTTGCATTTTTTATGCGCTTTCACCTTGTTTTTGCTTTTTTCTCACTTTCATATTTATCCTTCCCGTCCGTGCGCCTCAAAACTGCGCTTATTTTTTATTTGAAAGTTTCTCCATTTTTTCTTTGCCCCTTTGCATATTTTTTCCACTTTTAGCAAATCTCTTTCTTCACCATTTTTTTCCAATTTTTGTTAACGCTTTTTTATTTGTTTTTGGTTTTTGCTACTTTACATACATACGTACATTTTGACCCGTACAAACGGATTCGTCGTCGCTGCCGCTGTCGCGGACGCTGCGCCTATCGGGCCGTTAGATGTTGCAACAGTTGTGTTGTTGTCGCAGTAGCGCCGTTGGTGGCGTTGCAACCAGCTACACATTCATTTTGGTTAGCTATACTCATCTGTTGTTGTCTGTATGTAGCTAGTGCTTTTGTGCTTTTATTTTATTTTGTTATGTTGTTCTATTTGGCTTCGTTGTTATCGTTTTGCCTCATTCCTCATTCCCCATCCCTCATCCTTACATCGTGCGCCGTCGATGTGGCCGCTTCGACAGTTATGGCTGCTGGCTACCATAGAAATTTTTTAGCTTTAATTGTATAGAATCTATGGTTGCCAACAAGCGCGTGACCAGAAAACCATAATTAATTAACCGAAATACAAATCACTATGTTTAAATCTTAAGGGGTAGTCAGAGGCACGAAAAAATTACGTTTTACAGTATATATATATATATATATATATTTTTTTTTTGCTATTAAATCGTGTTATTTTACAAAAATAGTCTACAAAACCCCTTAAGGCAATAAAGGAGCGGCCCTACATTCAATAAAATTCTTAGAAAGAACATTCTTCGCTCCTAACTTGCACAATTCGTATTGGCAAAATCTGATGTGATTGTGGTTAAAGAGTCCAAAAATTTCAGTTTCATAAAAGTAACTTGCGATATAATCAAAAAGTGTGTTCATGCGCCTTTGGAAAGTATAAGTTTGTTGCCAATGTTAATGTGACCGAACTCTCCCGACTCCCGCTCTCTTACGCAGTTGCGTGATGCTTCCAAATGTGTGTAAATCTGAGTTTACGGGTATCAAAACATCGAAATTTTTTAGTGTCTTATTAAATACTACAATAATTCTGAATATTTTTTTTAAGTTTTTAAGTTGATCCGAGTATTAGTTTCTGAGATACAGCCTTGAAAACTTGTGCGCTCGAGGCTAGCTAGGCGAAGTGCGCCGTCTTTAAAAGCGCTTTTCTCGAAGCTGTGTTTTTAAAGTCGGTTGGCAAGATATCTCGAGAACTACTCAACCGATCTTCATGAAATTTTACACAGGTCTTTAAGATACAATTCCTAAAGGCTTGGACGAAAAATCTTACTCTCGATTACAACTATTTGCAAAAATACGTCGTGAAATTTCAAATTTTTTGTAAAATTATCTGCCAAAACCCAAATTTTCAGTTTTTTCTTTTGTACAAGTTCTAAGTTAATGTCTTTTTTTCCAAAAATTTCAGAATTTCCTTGTAAATTGTTGAAAGAATACTGTTTTTTCTGTTTATTGCAAATGAGCTTTGCATTGTGTATTTAAAAAATCCGGCTATCAGCAGTTGAAATCATTAGGCCAGCTATTTCGGATTGAAAAGAGATTTTGGTCGCAATTTGAATTTTTGAAATTAAATGCGGTAAATGTATGAATTTCCAGACCAGACCAGACAATATTTTTATAACACTGCCAGAAAACACGACATGATTTGACTCCATTATGATGGCCTGGTGTTTCAGTTCTATAGAACGATCCCGCTATGTTCGTTAATCGTATTTTCAACTTCTTTAGCGACGCAAATTGGCTACATTAAACTATAATTTGACACCGGTAGATTTTTTTGTGGAGATAACTCTAGTCTAGTGCAAATCCTGTCTTCACTAAATAAGAGGGAGCTGATTGATCAAATCAAACAGCTTCTGCCTTTAGGAAAGAGGTCACAATCCTCCAATTTAAAAGCTAGGGTGTAAGAAGCTAAGTTCTTTGGGCAAATCCATCGAGTTTTAGAATAGTGTTTATTTAGGAATAATTTGGGAGGCACAATACACCTACGACATTCCCTCTCAATCAGCTATCTATCAGGCCATGGGCGCGGAAGAACGAATTTAAATCTGCGTTTAAAAAATCACGTGGCCACTCTGTCAATGCGTGTTTTGCCACAATTTTTTGCGTTTACTCATTCCCACCCGCCACAATTATGTCCTAGCTGTGTGTGTGTGTATGCTTATGCGCCGACACGGTAAGGGGGTGCAGCGGTCTAGAAAAAAACACATTCCAATAATTTTTAGTCGGTTTTGTTTTGTATTTTTGTTCCTTTTTTGTGTTTTTTTCTGCAATATACGTACATAAATACATACGTATTTGTTTTTTGCTCTGCTTTGAATGTGTGGCCAGCAACACGACGTGTAAGTGCAACAGCAACATGATGACAACACGACGATGCACATGCGTGCAATGCGTTGGTGCGTCGCAACAACAACAGCAAAAACGACGCATCAGCTAACAAGCAAAGACAAACAAAAACAAAACAAAAAAAAATACTAGAAAATAAAACAAACAAAATAAAAAACGAAAACAAAAATGAAAACGAAAACGAAAAAAGGAATGAAAGCAAATGCGAAAAAATGCGTTTTGCTGAGAGAGAATTTCGGTGTTGTTGTTATTATTGTTGTTCAGCAATGCCAGGATTTCTTGTTAGGCCGGTGTGGGACTAGCTGCTTTTTGGTGTTATTTTTGTAATTACCATCACCCAACTGTGGGTGGGGGCGGACGAGCTAGACGATCGACAGCTAATGTGTCAAATAACGCACAACTACATATACATATACATATCGGTATTTATGTATGGTATATACATATACATATATGTATGTATGTAAATATGTATACCTATCGTTACGGT